TTATGGATCTTCTCACGTAATGATAAAATTAGAAAATTTTTTAGAATGGATAAAATTAGAAAAATTTAGTAGGACAACAAATATTAAAATAAGATACTACTTTCATTTCATAATAGAACTCTCACACTTTGATTTCACAAAAAAAATATTAAAAAATAAAGTAAAAAAGTGTTTTATTATAATTTCTTTATAGGAAAAAATGTTGGAGCTACATTCTCTTCTTTTTTTTTCTAAAAGGAGAAAAAAAGTAAAATGATGATTTTGGAGCAGTTTTAAAAAAGTGAGAAAGTATTTGTGAGACTTTATTAAGAGTATATATTTTATTGTCTTCCAAAAAAACAATTTAGATATGAAAGTTTAAAACACTAATTACATACTAAATGTTTGGTGAGCAAAAGAAATATGAGTTCTGATATCTTCAGATATCAGAATTTCTTTTGTGTTTGGTAAAGTAAAAACAGATATTGAATTTGATATCTTCAAATATTAGAAATGTTCTACATGGATTCTTTTGATATGAATTTGAGGGTTTGATGTCTCCATCAACTATAGACCATTTTCTACCATCGGCTACTACTATCACCACCAACCACTGTGTTACCGGCTACTCCCGCCTATCACTAATTAAATCATAATTTTAAATCTTTTTAAATAAGTACTCTATTTTGAATTTCAAGAGTATCATACTACTACGGGGTATAACTCTAAAACTTAGAAAGAGACGTTTATTTAATCATTGTGAACAATTTTAAGGTCTTGAAAAGTATAGAATTAGGTTGTTATTTTTTCACCATTACCAACGATATGATTGGTACTGTGATTGGCTGTCAATAACTCCCACACTAATACGGAATATATCACATACTTTGAGCCTAACTGATCAAATTTTTAATATGATTTTAATTTAAATTTAAAAAAATAATTAAAATAAAACCCAATTTTATTACAAATATAAAATTGAATAATGTATTCATACATAAATAATTTTATATATTCATCCTAGAAAATTGATTATCAATTTATCTTATTATTATTATGGTCTCCCAATAGCTTTTAATTTGTTTACTTCACTACTTGTGTTTTAATTGCATATGGAGTAGATGATAAAATAAAATATTTTTATCTATAAAATTTTGAAAACAAGGAATTTTACGCGTGATTCGAAGAGTATAATAATTAATGCTCCCTCCGTCCCCAATTTGATTACATTTTTTTTCTTTCTTCTCTCGACAACTTTTCTTTGTTTATGCGTTTTCAATAATCATTTGATAAAATAAAATATTTTTGTCACCTCTTGTTTTGTAGAATTTTTGACGTAGTTTTTTAATATGTAACTTTTATTTCTTATCGATATATCGATTTGTAAATAAAATAATTTCAAAAAGTAAGATAATTCTCTTCGTAAACCTCAATTTGTAATCAAATTAAAGACGGAGGAAGTATAAAAAAGTACTCGGAGTATTTTTTTTTACTTTTGATGTAAAAAGAATTAATGATCGAAATTTGGCACAAACTTCTAGAATCAATATCCCACTTTGAGTATGAGAAAACATAATTTAAATTGAAACATATTGAATTAAACTAAAAATAAACTGAAAAAAAGAGAGATCATATTTGCTAATTGTCATATATATATATATACTCCCTCCGTCTCCCATAGATCTTCCCAATAGTCTTTTTTCTTCGTCCACAATAGATCTTCTCATTTTATTTTTTAACAATTAAAATACCACAACTACCCCCACTTTATTTATTACACTTCACCCACCTCATTTAATACACTCCATCCATTTTCATTAAGGGTATTATGGTAAACTTTCACCTTTTTTTAACTCTCCTTAAAAATCACCAAAAGTCAAAATGAGAACATTTTAGGGGGACAGAAGGAGTATATACCAACTGGGAAACGGGAAACCCGTGGTGATAGAAGGAAAAAGTAGGGAAATGTAAGTGAAGTGAAATTTGATAATGTCATGTATGTATGAATGATGTGGATAAAGAAGGGAATAATGTATGGGCAGCGTGAGCTTTTTCCCACTTAAACAGGGCCAAAGTGATGAACCTTCATCATGATCACGGGAGGGTATGAATAACGTTTTCTTCTTTTTCAAATCCTAAAGAAAAAACATGCATTTGTCATAGAGAAAGAAAAGCATTTTATTATATGGTTCTTTTGTCTCACACAACCACTCATTACCTCCCCGGTAAACCCTTCCACCCCGTCCCGATCCGAACACACCCCCCACTCCTTCAATAGCACTCCACAAGTTAATTTTGATTTTGAAGTCAAATTTTGACTCCAAAATCTAAATTAACTTATGGGCTGCAATTGAAGGGGTGGGGAGGGGGGGTGTGTGTTTGGGTCAGGGCGAGATGGGGGTTTACCAGGGATGTTAGGGTGGGTAGGAACCGTCAATTTTACGAACGGGGCAACGGAGTGCCCCGAGTCATGGGAATCGTCTCGTAAATTTAATATCAATATATTGATTTTGAAACATCATATTTTTCATAATACGTAGTATGTAATTAAATACTCCGTATAAATATGGACTACGGAGTATTAATTACTGTCAAAGCTTTTGATTGAAGATTCTGAAAAGTTAAAAAGTAATAATATCATTAAACGGAACGAGTGTTTCACTTCACTAAAAAAAAGGGAAAAATAAAACTAAGAATTACTACGTATTTAGTAAGACATTTTTTTTCATTTGGATTTACTCAATATATTAATCTCACATGGAAATGAGGCTGCTTGTCGTGCCGCGTGACCCGTGTTCGAAGCTTCCCACCGTTCTCTGTTTCCAAACCCTACTGTAGTGGGATTCAACTGGATTGTTGTTGTTGTTGTATATTTATCTCACATCACATTTGTTATATACAGAAGGTGGAATGGGGGAAGGCCAACATGATAGAAGCAGAGCGAAGGTTACTCGCAAACGCACTCCTCGACTTCTCCAACGAGCGCTTCGTCCTCCTATCCGAAGCCTGCATTCCGCTCTTCAACTTCCCCACCATCTACTCCTACCTTACCAACTCCTCCCAGACGAACGTGGAGGTCTACGACCTCCCAGGCCCCGTCGGCCGGGGCCGCTACAACAAGCGCATGGGCCCCACCCTCAGTCTCCAAGACTGGCGGAAGGGGTCCCAGTGGTTCGAGGTGGACCGGCGCCTCGCCCTCGAGGTCGTCTCCGAGAGGACGTACTTCCCCCTCTTCCAAGCCCACTGCACCGGGCAGTGCTACTCGGACGAGCACTACCTGCCCTCGCTCGTGCACCTGAGGTTCGGGCAGCGGAACTCGAACCGGACCCTGACCTGGGTCGACTGGTCCAGGGGCGGGCCCCACCCATCCCGGTTTTACCGGAACGACGTGACGGTCGAGTTCTTGCACAAGTTGAGGGGTGGGAGCAAGTGTGGGTACAATGGGCATGAGACCACAGTGTGCCACTTGTTTGCTAGGAAGTTCACTCCCCATGCTCTGAGTAGATTGCTTATTTTGGCTCCAAAGCTTATGGAGTTCCATGGGCATTGATTGAAAAGCATTACGGAAATTGTATAGATAAATGCATTTTTTTTTTCGATTATAAGTTATTGAATATTGATGATCAAAACTGATTTTCATCAATATTTGTTGTCCTTGTACCGTGACAGTTGGGGAGTTTCATCAATTGATACATAGAGTCAACAATTCTTTCCAATCATCTACACAAATTTGTTTTCTTTAGAAAGATGCGTACACAAACTAAATTGAAATCTTTTATGGGATGTTTGGAAACTTAAATTTAGATTTCAAATTTGACTCGAATTCTATATTTGGAAAACTTAAAAATATGAAATTATATTTGGATTTGAGGCAAATTTCTTAATTTATCATTAAGCTCAAATGTGGTGTTAAATTTGGATTTACCTTCCATTATCATTTGAATGCCAAGAATTCAAGTTTTAGGAATGAATTCAATAATTGAAATGAAATACTAGTTCTCAAACACTACCTTAATATTTTTGTTAGAATTTATTTTAACTTTGATTCATGCAACAATAAATCCAAATTTAACACCACATATGATAACCATATGTGAATTTGTTCACCAAACAGTGCAATTGTATTTGTTTAAAGGCGATTACATGGTATGTGCCAATAAATTCACAAACGAGTGTCATCCATATGGTCAAACTTGAGATTATTGTTAAATTTTTCATACAACTCTAACATCAATATATAGTTTATTTGTTGAATTCGTTCACGACCATTGAACAAGACGCCTATTCACCCGCGTTTGCAAGTTCATTTCACTTTCTCACATTTCCTCATGCATAAATTTTACCATAGTGTTTAAAACACGAATCACTAATTCAACACGGCTCATTGGACTCCATCTTGTGGGTTCGTCTACGGGGAGGGGCACAACTACGAGCACATATCTGATAGCCACTTCTTCACATCTACTCCAACATCGATTTCAACAAACACATCTTTCACAAGTACGACACCACTCATTCGACATGCCTCATGGGATTCCATCTAATGGGCTCATCTATGGGCATCAACTTGACCCACTTCGCGGGACTTAGTCTCAGGGGCACAACAATGAGCTTGTTCTAATAGTCCTAGGAGGTAGGTCAGTTGGTGCACATGGACGAATCGCCATTAGTCGTGCGGAAGTAGTGCTTGAAGCTATGCCCCTAAGACAAAGTCCATTAATTGGATTGGTGCTCGTAGGGGTGCCCCTAAAACAAAGTTCCATGACGCAGATCAAATTGATACTTGGGGACATGCCCTTAAGATAGTGAGGCAAATATGAGCACCTTGAGACGAAGTTCCATCAAGTGCATTTGGCTGGTGCTTGTAGTATCATTAACTCTGTAAGTGTGTTCCATTACAAGGTTCCTGCTTCGGTTTATGGTGTTACATTACATATATTTAAAATCTCGGCTGCTCCGAAAAGAGAACGCTTTAAAAACACCAAGGAAAATGGCGGGTACGCCGTTCTTAACACCTCACGTCGATAAAAAATTATTGATTGCGATGGGAAAACGTTGCTAACTGGTTCACAACTTTAGCGGAAAAGGCGGGGTTTTTATTTATGACAACACAAAACCGAGAAATTAATATATACGTATGTGTATCTCAACTTTAGTGTACACAGAATAATACATAACAACGTACTATAAGAAACTCAGACCTCTGGTTTGTGTCCCAACTGATGCATTCAGTTAAATCTTGGGTAGAGCAGTTGGAGGATCAGCAGGAATATCGGCACTTGCCTGCCAAAAAAAAAGAGATAACATTGTACTACTACTATACATCGTATCGTCTCAGTAAATTTAGTATGGAAAAGGGTCATATACTAGTAGTTCTCACCTCTAGGTATTTCGATAACAACGTTTTAGTGCTGAAATTAAAGCCTTCAATTGGCTCTCCGTTCTTGCGGGAAGCATTGAGTTGCTTTCTTACTTGCGTAGCTAATGACTGCATTTGGTTTATCAGGAAAAAAACAAAGTAATTACTCCATCCGTCCCCGAATCAGATTCATGGGTTGATGTCATAGAGCTTTAAGAAGAAGTGTTGAAGAGTAAATAGTGGGTTGTTGGAATTTGTTAGGAAGATAGGAAACTATTAAGAGCCATGCATTCCATTGTTGGAAAAGAAAGTGGAGAAGTATGGATTTTATTTTCGAAGGGACGGAAAAGGAAAGCGTGAATTTAATTTGGCCTTGGAGAAAATATTAATTTAGATTTCAAAAGTGCTGGTAAGGCCTGTGTACATCTAGCATTCCCTAGAGCCTACTCTCGAGCTGTTTGGTTTGGTTATTCGAGAAGTGGGATTAAATTTATTGCCAGGGTGGAAACCAAATAAGTCACACTCTTAGCGAGTTTGACTGAAGCTTTACCTTTCCTAGCTCCACGCCCCATTGGTCAAAAGAGTTGATACCCCATACAAAGCCTTGCACGGCAACTCTGTGTTCATAGATCGCCAACAACTGGATGGAAGGAAAAGTTAAGATGGTTTGAATAAACATGATTGTGATGCAGCAAGTACTCAAAGAACGTTGAAGGTAACAAACCTGCCCAATATTATAAGCATTGAATGAGGGAAATAGTAGGCTTAGTGAAGGCCTGTTGCCCGAAAAGGTCTGGATAAAGAAAGCCACGGTGAGAGGAAAACTCATTCAACATTTGTTGATATGATGATTATTTGAATTGAGTGCAAGTACAATCACCTTGTGAGGAACAAGATCACGGGCTACATTCTCCTTCTCCAACTGTTCTTGGGTCTGAAAAATTGTAGATGTGTTAGTTAAAAGGACAGTTTTAATGGATCAGAAAGATGGCGCAAACATTTCCACTCCTCTGTCAGATCCTTCTCGGAAACAATCTGTCTATTCCTTGTGGTAGGGTAAGGTTTGGGTGCATCTTGCCCACCAGACCCTAATTCTCAGTGGGATAAAGTGGACTGTTGTTTCGTTTGGTTAGAGATGTACTCAAAATTAAGGTGATAAATCTAACAGAACAATAATCACTGCATACAAAACCTTTGCAATGATGCAATATATTTCATTTCCTTTCACCGACAAATATGCATGACCACTAGGCAAAAATGCTGGACAAAAGATCACATGCTCATACCTTCCCATAAGCAAGGGCATCAGGCTGTGCAAAGAAGTTTGACATGAGCTCATCATGGTTACTGACCACCTCACCTGAACAATAAAATTCAGATATTTTTAGATATAACACAAAATCTGCTGTTGGGTACTTGGGTTCATAATTGGATGATCAAGGTTTACATGAGGATTGCAGAAAGTGAAAATCCGATCTGTACCTTTCAAGTATACAGGTTGCTGACTCTTCACAGCACCAATGAAATCACAAGGAACAACCTGGCCCTAAACATTAAAGAAGATATGTTTACAAATTGTCAAATTTGAAGCTTTCAGTGTTGAAACTTTTCTCTAAAATAGAGATTTCGCAAAAGCTTTACCATTTACCAAACCTAAAGCAAGTTTAATGGTTCAATCTGGGAGCATAAGAATGACAAATTTTAATGATAAATCCTGAAATAGAAATTTTTCTATAAAATAGAGATTTCTAGTATTTTTTCCCCTCCTTTTTCATTCTCTCTCTTTGTTTTTACAACTTACAAGAACCAACAATTTCTTCAAGAAAATGAATGGGATGACTCTTTTTAACATATGGCGGATGACATGAGCCAGAACATTATTGTTGTTACAGCTAAAGCCAAATAACATACAGAGTAATAGCTTTGGCATTGTTTCATTTTACAGTTTAGTTTTCATAATCACATAAACATATATTATACATCAGATAATGTTTAAAAAAATACCTGGTGAATTAGTTGGTAAAAGCTGTGTTGGCCATTTGTGCCAGGTTCACCAAAATCAATTTCACCAGACTCGTATGGAAGTGGTAAACCATCAATAGACACACCTTTCCCATTACTCTCCATGCTAACCTATATCAAAATTTGAAGAAAAGCATAGAAACAAAACACATGTAGAATAGAATGAGAGCACCAAAATTATAGCTAAACTCAACCATACCTGTTGTATATGTGGTGCAAACTTTTCCAATGCTTGAGAATATGGCAAAATAGCCTGAAATTTTCATTAAAAGAGATCATGAACAAACTCTTAATTGGCATGGCTTGTAGTGTGAGGATGAAAAAACTGTACTGAGATAAGAATATAAGATGTACTTGCCCTTGCAGGGTATCCAAGGAATGTAACATTCCATACGCTCAACAAGCCTAAGAGCACCTGCAAAAATGACGCTACATTAAAATATTACTTGGGGAGAAAAAAAAATGTACTGTGTATGATAGGATAACAAATCTATTAAAGTGAAAAAGTAAATTGAATTGAGGAGCACCTACAGGTATATTCTTTTCGAAATGGGTGGAATAGAAATGGTTATCAACACTTGAAGCTCCCTTAAGAAATCTTAACACAAAGAAAGTCGAGATATGTTAGGCAGGTACTACAGATCCAAATAAAACAAAGAATGAAAATATAGTGAATATATTTAAGGCATCTTTAGTCTTTACCCGTTAGATTGGAAAATCTTGGAGGGATGGGGGAAGATTTTGAAATATTTTTGTGTTTGGTTGGGACTTGGGAGAAAAAGATAGATGAACCAAGAAGGTGGAGGGTTTTAAAATTCCACCCCCCCACCCCCCACCCCACTGGGGTATTCTAGCTGAGTGAACAGATTGGAGCCTTGTTTTTTTAGAACATGAAAGAATATCGAAGCTTGGAAACGAACTTATGTTTCATTTTGATTTAATGTTTGTATATATAAAGATGTCTCTGACAAGTGTGTTAGTTTTAGCTAAGCCAACAAATAACTTTAAAACAGGTTTTGCCAAATACAACTCTAAGGTTGGGTAGTCTACGTGTCATTACAATAAATGTGGAGAAATTCATTGGTTGAAATGAAGAAAAAAATAGAGAAGGTGCCACAAGAGGTTCAAGCTATTTTCATTATTTGTCTAGAATCACAATGTTTCATAGCTTGAGTTCTACAAATAGCATATACGCACAGGTCAACCACAACAACAGATCAGTAAAATACCACAAAGATACATGCACATGTCATATATCAGTAAAAATGTGCTTTGATGTGGTAGCACCCAATGAAACTGATTTTACCCTTTTAGATTTCCACACATCATTTGGTATTTGCTTTTGAGTAATGCTAGAGTCACAAACTTAAAGTTCACAAACTTCACAAAATTGCCTTTTTAGCACTTTCCTAGAAATAAGATGCACTCAACTATTAAAAAACATTTTAATTTTAATTCCACAAAAGGCAAGTTTGTGAAGTTTGTAAAGTTTAAGTTTGTGACTCTAGCATTTTCTACCATCCACTTTAGATTTTAGATTTATTTTGCACGGAAAATGTTTATTAAGCCGGTAATGCTGGAAAAGGAGAAGTTTCACCAACACAGCATCTTTCCTTTTCTACTGCTATCAAGGATTGCATTATCTTTAACTTAATCCACAAAATCATCCGAGTTGACAGATGAACCCCCACCCACCACCAACCAAATAATAAAAATTATAGAAATGTTATGGTGAAACCTTAAAATTATAAGCAAGTATTACACATGAATGAAAGCTGCAAATTACTTCTCAACAATAGGGAAACCGTATTGCAGGGAAAGTGGCAACACCCCAACTGCACTGCAAACTGCAAAACAAAGTTTTAAATTTTCAAAGAGATGGATTTATGTTTCAGAAAAAACGTTAGAATTTCACAAATATCAGTATGCTCTTATAAACTTTACCTACCACTATAGCGGCCTCCCACCCAGTCCCAAAATGCAAAAGAATTCTTGGGATCAATGCCAAATTTTTCTACAAGCTGCACCAAAGAGTGAATGAAATGGGATCAAGTAATGCATTTGTAATATGATATGCTGCATAATGCAATTGGCCTTAAATAAAGCTAAATATTAAAGAGGTTCAAGTTGAAATGCTACAAAATTTGTGTGTATGCTTATTTTTCTTTTTTCATTTCTTAAAAAATGAAACTCTACTAAAAGAATCAAACTATGGTTTTAATTATCAGAACCCAACAAGAAAAATGAGGCCACAAAGTATTCGCATCTGCAACAATGCATAATCTCAAGAGATAATTCAGAGTTAAGAATACGGAATAAATTTACATACTGCAAGGTTAGTGCTAACAGCAACCATATGCTTCGCAACAGCTTGAGGCCTAAAAACAGAGCACAAAAATACTCAATTGGATATCTCTGGTTCTGAAATGTACATTATTTCAAGAAGTGCTAATAGAATGTAACAGTAGATATTTGTTCCATACATTTGTTATATTTCCAGGACTATCTGTCACGAGTGTATAGCATACTATTCACCATTTAAATAATTCTCTAGTGATATGCATTCGGCCAATCCTGCCTTAAATCCTATACAAAATATACTATTTGTCCTCTCAAAAGATTCGCTTAGCACAGCCTTTGTGCTAGCCATAGTGATTAACAAACTAATAGAAACAAACTACTCATTTACAATGTACAAATGTGCTAGAAGTGGGAAAAAGGCTCGGTTGCTTCTCTTACCCTAAAGAAGATGAGATCCATTCTCTCATTGTCCTAGCATTCAGCATAGTCTCAGCAGTTGTAAACGTCTTTGAGACCACAACAACTTTAAAACCATGCAGGAAAAAATAGGCAACTGTCAAAGCTCAAAAGGTTCACAGATCAAATTCTATAACGTGGAAAGAAAGTCAGCCTACCTAGGGTGGTTTCAGGATTTAATCCTGTAATATTCCTGGCAATGTCAATTGGGTCGACATTTGCTAGACTGGAGCACAAAAGAAGAAATTGTCATGATTCAGGATATTAATGTTGTCAATATAACTCAAATGTGTAAGCACCGTAATATAAAATGAAAACAAAATATTAAAAAAAAAATATCCTAGAGAGTCATCAAATGGCTCCACAATTTTGTAATACTTACAAACGTAGTTGGCGCCCTTTTGCACATTCCATTGCCTCTGGCTCTGGATATTAGGCATTGACAACATGTGACCATCTTGCAAATCTTTATTGCAGTTTGATTTTTTATTTTAAGGGGGTTCTAATATGGGGAAAGGGTGGAGCTTGGGAACGGGTGCATTTAATCATAGAGGACAAAAAAGCAAAGAACTCAAAGTTTAACTGGAAGGGCAAACAGAAAAAAGATGAAAATGTGAATTCTACTATCATACCTGTTTGAAGTGCAGTATGAACAAATAAAGGTCCTAAGAAGCTGCCACCTATACCTATAGCTACAACATCTTTCAATTCCTTCCCAGTAGCTCCAACCTTCAAACAAATGTATTTTCATTACCATTGGGAATTGTTATCAAGAATAACAACTTGATTGATAACTACGATTACCCAGGAACCACTTCGAACTCTGTCAGAGAAGTCTTGGATTTTATCAAGAACCTGCCAGACATCTTGGACCACATTCTTCCCATCACTGTTTATGACTGCATCCCTGGGAGCCCGCAGAGCTACATGAAGCACTGATCTGTTCTCCGTGCTGTTTATCTACAAAATTATGATGAAAATGATTATCCTTCATATTATTACAGCACATTATAAGTTCAAGGCAAATTCTTACATGGTCCTTGGTTCACACTCATTTTATGGACCTTAGTATATAAATTTAATGAAAGAATTGGGCTTCTTGAAACAAGAAAAGGTTCCCATGTCAGTTCATGAAAAATGTGAGAAGGTCCACATTTCACATGTGGACCTTAGGATCACTAAAGCAAAACTCTAAGTTCAAAACCCCTTGTAATACAAATATTTTACCATTTTAGCTTACTTGCCAATACTTTCAAGTTTTATGTGATTCTGTAAATATCGCATGCACAGAATAATTAAGACTATTAATTATTTGTCTATTAAATATGCCATGGTTTCAACTTGATAGTACCATCCAGTGGCATGTATATTATGTAGATATAACTTGATCTTCAAGCAATCATAAATTCAGATTTACAACTAATTTTAAGACAAGACATATACAAAAACTGTCACTCACATGCTCCCCATTGAACATCCTGTCAATCTTCTCCTTGAGATGTGCAGCCTGCATTGCCAAGAGAGAAATGATACTCAAAAAACAGTCAAAAGCATTCCAATTTTTCTTTCCATTATCGGAAAATCCTAACGAACCTCAGCCAAATTCAAGAGCTTTTGCATCGTCTCGAGAGTTGCTCGCTGCCTCGAAAAGTCCAACAAAATCCCATCGAACTCCCTACCGTCACACACAGAAAAAAAGCCTTACAATCAAAACCATATCCAATGGAAAAAACGAAGCTGGAAGCCGAAGTTCAGAATTCATACACCATCATGGACTTGCAGCGATCCACATCGCTCATCAGGGACCGCAAATGAGTCTTGTCGATCTCGTCCACATGGCCCTGCTCGATCAACGTCAACAATCCGACATCAATCAATCGGAGTGATCGGGAAATGCCCTAAATCGCAACGAAATTAGCCGAAATCACTTACTTTCAAATCCCTCCACGCCTGAGAAGCGGAGATTAGAGCAGAGGACGGCATCCCTGCAGAGAAATCAAAATCGGAGGGCGACGGCGGTGCAAGGATGACAAAGGAGAGCGGGTTTCAACGACAGTGATGAAGAAGACAATACGGAACATGCATATAACAAAAAATGTGGGGAATGATTCTTTCTACGCAAGCCACGCTATTCTATAATGGCTACCCCAAAAACTGGCTGAGCCGCTGCTTGTTTTCGACCTTAGGTGGCAACTCTTTTGTTTTTTCGTCAAAGTAAGAATGGGTATAGTTTTTTTTTTTTTGAACAAAAAGAATGGGTATAGTTTATAGTCTCTCCGTCTCAGAGTATTTGTCCACTTTCATTTTTACACATCATCTAATACACTTCTTTAATCTATTTTATCTTGTAATTTGTATATTAAAAAATTATAGAAATTATATATTAATAATCTATATGTTAAGACAAATCAAACAAGATCACACATGACTATATTTAGGCTTACACATTGAGAGAATTTGATGAGTCAAAGTACTTAGATGAACAGTTCCAAAAGTCAAAACTGGACGAATATAGCGGGACGGAGGTAGTATATAGTAGATGTGACAAAAATTGATCTCATCTGGTTTTAGTTTGATACATAACTTTAAAATGTTAGGTTTTGAATACCAATCATAGTTTTCAGAACCGGACCGATGACTGAATCAGTCAAGATACTGATTCACTGGTCGAACCAATGGTTCAACTGGTCAAACCGGTGGTTTAAACATATTTACTCCGTAAAAATTAAATACATACACACACATTCTCATTTATAAATACCTAAAAGATGTACTTAATTTATAACATTTGAAAATAATTTAGCAAGTACGAAGTATAAGTTTTGAACATTTATAAGTATAATTCATAGACACACATTCTCATTTATAAGTATAATTCACCAAAGTTGCAATAGAATTTAAAATTAAAGAGAAACAAGAAAAAAAATAAATAAAAAATCGTTAATACTCCCTCCATCCAACATTATTCTTCTCGTTCATTATTCGCAGGGTCAAACTTCATTCAATTTGTTGGCGTATTTTCGTTGCTCATTTAATACAATAATATAATCATGTCATCTCTAGTTTTGTGGATCTTTTCATATAGTTTATTTTTTTAATTTCATACAATTTTTCATATAAAATGATTTGAAAATAATTTTAGTCAAATATCGTAACGCGCAACGAGAACACTATTTTGTTGGACGGAAGAAGTATATAAATTTGAGACTCGTAACTCTAATAAAACCTATTCGTTATTGCTATTTACGAGTACATGTGAGGCAATCGTAAATAAACTCTTTCATAATCCATTCGTCCCACCTATTTAACCTTTTACGGCCTTCAGTTCACCGTTTTGAAAAAGAAAAAAAATTACTCTCCGTCCTAAAGTTATTACTACCTCCGTCACTCTCATAAACAGGTGAAAGTAAAAATGTGTGGTAGGTTATGTGAAGAAATTAGGTAAAATAGAACATTAAACATATAATTTTTTAATATCTTTAATATATAATTATTAGATATACAATTCTGTTTAGTTTGTTCTAGTGTGTACTGATATAAATCCGAATGTGTAACTCTCTTAAACTACTCAGTTTCACGAATTTACTACAGTTCCAAAAGTCAAAACTGGACGAATACTCTGGGACGAAGGGAGTATATCTTATTTGACTTCTGATACGAAGTATTAAAGCTCTGTTTGGTACATAAAATCCAATCGTGAAATTAGAACTAGACACTTTAATTCCAATTTTGATATTCGGTAACACAAAAATATGTAGATTTAGAATTGGAAGTGCGAAAAAATGAATTGAAATTGAAAGATTCAATTCCATCTAACTCAATTATATAGAATTTCAATTTCAATTCAATTCTGATTTCATCAATTCCGTGTACCAACAGATCCTACGGAGTATTATGATATAAATTTAACATCATGAAGTAATTTTTGAAATATCATATTTTATACTCCGTGATATATGTTTACGTATACATAGAAATTTAATGGTCAAAGTTTTCATTAGGGGATTGAAAAGTCAAATACAAGAAAAAAGTTTTAGACATCACTATAATCACAAAATACACAACCTTGTTATTTGTGCACCTCACTAAATGAATAAAATGATGTTGAATAAATAAAAAGTAAACATTTAAATACACGAATGGTAAGTTTGTGTATTTTGTGACCGAGATGTTTGTGACTCTAGCATTTCTCTTTGTACATAAATACCTCGTAAATATTACTCCTATCAAAATATAATATTTTAAAACTAGAGTCTTGTTTGGGATTAGCTTTTTGAACTAGCATCACTATTTTAAATTTTAATGGTAGAGATTAATTTCGAATAGACTAAAGCTAAATGCTAGAATTGTTACCAGTGCCGGACCTAGGGGGGTCTGATGGTGTCAACCGACACCACTAATTTTTTTAAAAAATAGTACTATTAAGTATTGACAACAATTTTTTATATAATTAATAATAGTACTTTCTACTCAATAATTGTGTTATTTTGAATCATTTGAATGTTTGAGGAAAATTTATTACTCCGTAGTTTTTTGTTGTTTCTTATTGTGTTTAAAAAAATTAGTTATCTAACACTACAGTGTGTATTAACTTCATTTTTTTACTGCTATCATTTTTATCATTTTTATAATTAATAATAATGTCATTTAATTATGTTATTTCTTATTGTGTTTGTAAAAGAAATCAGGAGACGCTACCTCCGAACTCTCGTCACATGCCCACACAATCCGCCTGAAAAGTTCTAGCCCCTTTACTCTTGACACCGCTAATTTGAGAGTTTGGGTCCGCCACTAATTGTTACCAAAAATACACTAAAATATAGAGTAACATTATAATTAATTGTAATTGTAAAATTAAGACAAAATTGATTCACTATTTTGGTAAATTGATAAAATGTAAGAATCTGAATGTAATTATTGTCCACATTCATACATCTGCAAGAAAAATGTTTGAATCTGAATTTGAAAGTACTACATTGATAATTAAAAAAATGAAATAAGAAACTGGAAAAATAACTACTAATACAAGTGTAACATATGCAACACACACTTGTCATCTTTTTTTAGCAGAGGAGTAGAGTTTTGCATACCTCATTGTTCTGAACATTTTGAAGAACAGATTTGAATGCCTCCTTGTCCTTCTGGGTCTACTTGAAGTATTGCCCTCCATCTGAGACTTTACAGAATGGTCTTCTTTTCCAGCCCTTGCAAACATGGCAATGAAAAAGCCTTCTTTGTCCTTGACCGGGTCAGTTCGCAGCAATTTCTCTGCTGAAAAATGTGTACTCGGGCGTTTTAGTAAAGTGCAACTGAAATAGGCTACTTGCAATGTGCAAAAAAATCCAGTAAAAAGGTTCGTTTAAATGATATGGCGAGAAAAACAACCTAGTAAAGTCTCACAAAGGGTCTGTTTGGTTGGGGAGGTCAAAGTTTTAAGACAATAATAGGTTGGAATACTTACATCCAGCCATGACTGGAAGACCACGGTGAGGCCATTGAGGAAGAACCGTTTCCAGTTCAAATCCACGAGATGTGGCAAACGGTAACAGGGAACTGATAACATCTTCATTCTCAATTTGGTGGATGGAGCAAGTGCTGTAAACAATTCTCTCCACTGCTGGAACTGCAACAAAATTGCAAAGAAGTCACTAACATGCATTCAGACATAGAAGCAAAAAGATGCATCGCACAAGAATTATTACTACTGTCCATATACTAAAGCAAGATACAAGCGTATCGTAATGCTAAATAAAGTACAAAATTAGGCTGAAGAAAACAAAATTATATACTCACAGCGCAACGCATGTTCCAAAGCTTTCTTTTGGAAATTTGCTAGTTTTTGTAGTCTATCCATGTCAAGAGCATCATGAGTACCTTCAGAGGCAAAGGGAAAGCATGTAACTTGCAGATGTTAAAGAAGATTGCCTCAGAATAAGATGACTACAAGATCAAAACATGCATCACCGGTCAAGTTAACCAAATGGATGTGGTTGGGATAACACTTGTACTGGTCCAAAACACATTTTTAACAGTTATTCCCCAAAAGTAGAGACTAGAGAGCCATTGCATAATTTCCCCAATGAAATATGACATAAAAATTGTGCCATGTCCATATTTGTGAGCAATTTAAGCAACATAGAGATAGACTTTTTGAATCTCCACATAGTATTGGGGCCATGGTATACAAAACACAATCTAATATTTTATAATATATTTTGTTGTCCACACAAGTGTGTGTACACAAATATATACATAAATATATACATATGTATATGGTGTTACCATAGCATATACACCAAATTTCACATCATATCTCTTTTGTATTACTTTGTTGCAAAAGTGCAGCCTGCTCAAGTAACATGTGTTCTTATCCAAATGATCTAAAATAAAATGTGTTCTTATCCAAACAACCTAAAAAATAACATGTATTCTTAGCCAAACAACCAAAAAACAACTATAAGCAAGGTTGTCAGATTATAACAGACAATTCATGGATGTAACTCAGATCGTAAGATCCTAGGCTTCTAGTTGGTAAGCAAAATTTATAAAATACTCCTCTATATAAAACTAGATACTAAGAAATAAGAAAACTTTTATCCTACCCATTTTCATCCACAGACTACCACCATTTCTTATTCCTGGTGGATAATATTCGTGCAATTCATTTATATTGTATTTCAATTTTTTTGTTACCTGCATTGGCTGATGGGAGAAGATGGTCCAACCTATCAAGAGCAGTTCCAGATCCAGAGCAAGATGGATCCAAAAGTATTGCACGAACCTGTAAGAAATCAGTTGTAATGAAAACAATTAGAAAATGAGTACATCTCCATTATACCCCAACATATGACCACCACCAATGTCCAAACAAATATCTTAGATTCCTAGCTCAAGCAGCCACATCCCAGGTTTCTGAACTCAAAGTTTTTGCTATTGCATGGAAATAATGCAACTTCCCTTACCTTATCCAAATCACATTCATCATACAAAAAATCAACAGCCCAAAATCCCAACCTAGGGTTGTCTTAATGATTGCCACTGAAGAATTCTTTTTTGATAGGTGCTAGAAATATAATCGTAAAAAATATAGTAAAATCACTACAAAGCTTTTACCAGGCCATCCTCGGCCTAAATAAGTCATGTGTTAAAATTCAATTTAGTTTTAAAGGTATGCTCTCTACTGTTGCACTCAATAAGTTGTAATGTACTAATGTGTTTATATTTTTTTTCATGACCTTTTCAGGCAAAATTAGCATTGAACCACCAAAAGTTAGATATGTTACCCGTAAAAAACATTTAAAAAGGCCTAATGCAGAAACTTGCACAATAACAACATATAATTAAATCTAACATTACTTGTCAATTGTGTTACCTTTGAATACAATGGATCTTCCGGGCTCAAGTTAAGGAAGTCATCATGCATAACATGCACATCTAGGCTGAGTTAAGTTAACATATAACGAAT